ATTTATTTTTTAGTTTTTGGCGGACACAACATCTTTGTTTTATGTGGTGCTGAGGATCGAACCCGGGTCGCACGCATGCCAGGCGAGCACACTACCACTTGAGCCACATCCCCAGCCCCTTAACTGTCTTTTGATGATGGGAGGTACACGACCACCTTCAGTGGGACTTGATGAATCGTTTCCCACTTGTGGGACTCTGGACTTYTTATCTATAAAAGAAATGGATTGCCCACTCCCAACATCCTGACTCCCAAGCTAAGCAATCAGAAGGGTATCCTTGATTTCCCCACCCTGGACCCCTATTCCCAAGGGAACTGGATGAGACCTTACTGGATGAAGCCATCTCCCACTGCCCAGGTGCTCAGGGGCTAGAGAATCAATTCGTGAACCTCTCAGAGCCAGAGATGAAAGAGAGTATATCCAGCCACCATCCAWGGTGTCTCAAGCCTCAGTGAACAAAAATAACCCGGGGAGGTTGGGAGGTGTCAACAAAGCAGAGGCCTGATCCCACCCTTAGAGACCAGGGAACCAGGTATGATGAGACAGAAGACTCAGGCAAAAACCAGGGCAGAACAAGTTCCTCCCACTTGGATGTCTTCTACAGTCAAGAGACATCTCCCAGGCACCTTCCACAAGCCAGGGCCTGGGGAATCCAAAAACCAGGACACAGTGACTACACTCAAGGAACTCAGTACAGGAGGAGAATCAACGTTTCGGTAATGGGAAACTGTGATGTTATTTGGTGTGGTCACAAAGGGACAATCACGCTGTTGTGAGCAGGCTGGAGTGAGGTGGGGACTATGGTTTTAAATCCCTGATGAGCAGTTAACTTTACACAAAGAGGAAAAAGTCCTAGCCTCAGAAAAACTCCTAACTGTAGCCACAGGCTGGCAGAGCCACAAAATAAACCCACCTGACAGTCACAAAGAGCACATACAACTCACACTCTGACCCCAACACCAACCACAAAGGGTCCCAACCCAGACTGGAGCCTCAGGATGAGCCTCGATCTTCCTCCATTCCCAGTGCTGACTCTGATCTTGGGGTCAGGACAGAAAAGTCATAAGCTGGGAAATTCCTGAACTGAGTTAAACAGGAAAAGGACAGAGCACTTGGGGAAGGAGAGGTCCTCTGACTGTGGGTCATGGAGCTTTCCCTGAAGATTACTGATCCACTCTGGGCCCCCCCTCCCTGATCACCCCTGGTCCCGGATGGCCAGAGCAGAGCAGATTCCTGACCACTCCTCTGGCTCCTCATCTCCACCTACCCTCTAACTCCTTCCTTTCAACACGTCCGCACACTTGGGTCTGTATCCTCTCACATTTTCACCACCTCCACTCACTCCTCAGCATTATGCCATCTGCTGTCACCTCCACCCCTCTCTAGGACTGGTCTCAGTTACACCCCAGCAACCGTCAGGCCACTCTACCCAGCGGCCACTGTGCATTCCAAGTCATACTTGGCCTTTCCACAGCAGTGGGCCCAGCTGCCCATCCCTTCCCTCGAAATGCCCCTCCTACCATGCCAGTGTCCGGCCTTGTTGGCAGAAGCCCCAGCACCAGTTTCCACCTGGGGGTGCTCCTTAAGCTGCCTCCCCAGGAACCTCTCTTCTCACTCCCCTTCCCCCTGGAAAATTCACCCACCCCAGAGCTTCAGTTCTCTCCTCCATGAGAACCACTCCCAGAGTCTGACCTCCAGGCCACACCCTTCCTCCAAGCCTGGCTCCAAATACCCAGCTGCTCACTGACATGCCCATTCCTGTCTCAGGCATGTCCAACTCAGAACTTCCAACCTGACCCTCATCCTCCCTCCTGGGTCATTCCTGTCTTAAAGAATGGCTATACCAAGTCTAGTTGCTCCAAACCTGGGGGTCATTCTTGCCTCCTATCTCTCCTCAAATCCKCTCACGTCACCCAGCTACCATGCAGGAAATCCAAGATCTGACCACTTTCAAATAAGCCCACTGGCTCCTTGGAGTCAGTCCCCATCCTCTCCCTAGGACTCCTGCAGTAGCCTCTGGATCATCTCCTAATCTCTACTCTGCTCCCTCCCACACATTCCCTTCACAACATCCAGGGTGATTGTTCAAAAGTCCCATCATCTGAATCTTCTAGCCAAACTCTTCAATTACTGCAATACGGAAAACTTCCAAATCCTCTGCCAAACTTCCAGGTGTCTGTTTGACCCTGTCTTCTGCCTATAGTTATCAACCTCTTTATCCCTAATTTGGGATGCTCACCATCCTGGGATGTATGTGTGTGTGTGTGTGTGTGTGTGTGTGTGTGTGTGTGTGTGTGTTGTTTTGAGGGTTTTTTTGTTTTTGTTTTTTTGAAGTAGGGGGAATTGAACCCAGAGCCTGGTGCGTGTTATGCAAGTGCTTTACCACTGAGCCACATCCCCGACCCTACATAACCTTTTCTCTCCTTGAAGCATTTCCCAAGTCTAAACACTGCTGCTCAAGCTGTCACGTGCATTAAAATCACCTGGAAATGTAGGTAAAATTCAAATTCTGAATAAATGGMCTTGGATGGGGCCTGAGAGATTCTGCCTTTTAAAAAAAAAAAAAGTATCAGGATGAATTCGGGGTCTCACATGCTAAGCAAACACTCTACCACTGAGCTGCACCCCCCAGCCCTAAGTTTCTGCTCATCTAAGGATCTCCCAAACAATTCAGGTGTTGCTGGTCCTCTGGCCTCAGAATAACAAGGATCTAGAACACTATGCTTCACTCTGACTCCACCTTTGCCTAAGTCCTGTTAAACTCTCAGGGCTCAGTTTAAATACCATTCCCTCCAGGAAGCTCTACCWGTCATCAAAGCCCCTCAGGCACCAGCCTCATATTTTCCCTGAGCCAACTGCACCTCTCCTTGGAACATCTACCATACCTAACCATCCCTCTCTCATTCTTCACTTTACAGCTTTTGACTCCCTAGAGAGACTACAATCTCTAAGACAACAGGAACCACAATATCTAGTTCACTCCTAGGTCCTCAGCACCCAGCACTGGGCTGGCACATCATCAGCACCTGATAGGAAGCTGTTGGTCTAGCCTGCCCTGCCTTCATCTCTGTTCACACTAGCATTTCAATTTCCTTTGAGGAGCCACCCCTCCTCCATTCCAAGTTATTACAGTTTAAGTCATGAGACCACGCCTAGTCAATCAGAGCCTTCCATCTCTCTGGCCACAATGATTGGTTCAGGTATAGACATGTGACCTCAGCCAGGCCAATGAGCTTCCTCCCTGGCACTTTTGTTGGAACTAATGGGAAAAAGATACTCTTTCTTTTCCATGGTGGTTACTTAGCCAAGATATTGTCATTATCTCACCACCACAGAGACAAAGCTTGACAAAGGATGAAACTAACACACAATGCAGAGGGAAAGAGACAAAGACCATGGATATATACTTGCCTGGCATCTATACTTGTTGTGACAAAGGCAAGAAAAGTTCCCTTTTATGCCTTAGATGAAGTGAGTTGTTTCTGTCACTTGCAACCAAGAGTCCTGACTAATACAACATTCAAATAAATATTGGGTGTTGAGTGAATTAAACGAGCGTGTGAGTAAAGGCTGCCAAGAGTACTCAGGGACTCCTCCCAGGCTTTCCAAGCTCTCCTTACAAACTAACCATCCATAAGCAGAGACAAGCTTCCCACGCCCAGCTCTGCAGACCAAGGGGATGAAACTCAGAAGAATGCATGTTCCTTGGCTTTACCTGGTGCAAGCAAACCACCCCAGCATCTGGGTCAGATACCAGCCCTAGAACTAGGCTGGTGGAGATGGCCTGGCTTTTGGTAGGTCCTGGTATTCCACCAGGAGGGGAGTAGAGCTGTCTTCTGTCAGCCCTCTGTCCTGTTCCATCCCCTTCCCACCCCCCACTGAACACCTAACCCAACCAGGGYAGGCTTTACTGCCATTGCATATATTCTCCCTTAGTGTATACCAAGTGGCTCTGTACAAGGCAGGTATCTGATATGTGATGATAACAGGAAGATGGACAGTTTTTATCTGCTTCCTTTGGGGGTATCACACTACAAAAGATTAAGTCAGGGAGAGGGGGAGCAAGACAGATCAGTAGGGAAAAGATGCCTAGTTATTTCCCTGTGAGTCACCTCAGAGCAGAGGCCTGGGACAGGGATACAGGCTGGCCTAGGTGTCCCTTCAGATGACTCAGGAGGAAGGTGACTTCTTCAGAGCCAGTCCTCACCCAAAAAAAGTGTTAAGGCAGGAGGGAGGGGAGAGGATGTACAGCAGCCCAGGCAGGAGCAGTGGCTGAGCAGCAAGCCCCCCTGAAGGCCAGTGCAGGCCCAAGGAGCCATCCTGCAGGGGGTGGGAGCAGGAGTAGTGAAAGGTGAAAGGGGAAGAAGATTGTGGGGGTGGGGGTGGCAGGGAAGATAGGCTCCTCTTTCCAGGAAGAGGATAGCCCTAGGCCTGGGGTCCTGGGATGTGATCTCCCAGGAAAGAGGCTTCTGAATAAAGTGCTGATACACCACTGCCCCCCTCCCAGCCTTCAGGGCAACTCTCACGTAGGAATTGGAGTAATAGGGCCATCCCAAGGAGACCAGAGAGAGGCAGGTAGGCCAGCATGCAGATGCCACCCAAGTCCCAGGAACATCCACTCCCAGCCCCAAACAGTCCCCGGCAGCTGCCCCTTAAGACACCCAACTACATTCTGTCTCTTCTACCTCCTCCAGCCTGGGCCCCTTGTTCCCAAACCCCACCCCTCCACAAGGCCTCTCGCTAATAACCAAGCATCCTGCCAAACCCATTTCAGTCCCAGTCTATTTCCTCACTGCCCCTTGACACAAACACCCCTGAGTCTCCATCACACTTTCCTCCTGCTCTGGAAAGCTTAATTGGATGCTGGTTCCAGAGGCAACAGGCACTCCATGGCCCCCAGTGGGACAAGGGCAGCTGGCCTGGAGCCAAAGCCACAGTCAGGCCTCAAGACTCTCCCCCACACTCCCTCCCTCACTGCTTCCCAGCCAGGAGCTTCTTACCTTCATGGTGGGGGGCGCAGTGAGAGGAGGGGACAGTGGCCGGTCTGGGAGGGTCACATCTGAGCTGTTGGCCAGCTCCTGCTTCCTGTGAAGAGACCAAAAAAAAAAAAAAAACAGAAGTGGTGAGCAAGGCCCTGCCCATGCCTTCCCTTTCTGCTCTAAGAGTGGCTGGGCTTGGGAGGCAGCCTGATAGACAATGCAGAAAACCAGAGTTGACTGTCTTCCTTTATTGTGACGTACTAACATCTAAAGACGTGGTTCCTGGGGGATCCCTGGACCACCAGCAGCCCCTGGGAGCTTCTTAGAAAGGTGAGTCCTCAGGTGCAGGCCAGAACCTCCAGGGATGGGGCCCAAGAATCTGTGTTTTAATAAGTTCTCCAGGTGATTCTGATGTACCTGAGGTCTCAGACCCACAGACTAGGCTGGGGAAGGGGATGGGAGCAGGGGTCAATGTGCGGGATTCATTCTCCTTTGGGCCCCTCTATACATATACACACACACACACACACACACACACACACACAGGCCCAGGCAGGACAGCTGACCTTGGGAAGCCAGGGAGCTGCAGGTTAAACTTATTTTAGTCCATGTGGGCTAGGACCAGAGAGAGGCAGCTAAACAGAGTTGTGTCACCATGGCAACATGATTGCGACAAGTTCGCGGCTCTCACACACTCCCCACTTCCCATCTGGCCCTTGCCAGTGACCAGGGAGAGCTTGTTTGCTGTCCCATCACCAGGCAGACTGGGGTGGGAAAAGGCTTCGGAGAGAATTACGAAACAGGGCCAGCTGGGCAGAACCTGGGGCGTCCCAGAGAGAGAGAGACTCTGGTGTCCAGGACATGCCCTGGCTAAAGAAAGCATAACAGTACTGAGAGCCTAAGACCCACAGAGCCATCCAAAYGCCCAGCTTTACCAGAAGCAGCCAAGAGAATCAGCCCAACACACATGTCTCACTAAAATGATCAATGGGCCTCCAACTGCCACCTGGGGAGAATGCTTCTGCACCTCTTTCCAGCCAGCAGGGATGACAGCTCCCACCCAAGCCTTCATGAGAGAAGCACACATTCCCTATTCCTGAGCCTAGAATCCCACCCAGCATTCTAGGGTGAAGCACTGTCTGGCTCTGGGGCTCAGTCACCAACACCTCTTAGCCCATGTGACAGGCCCAATCTAACACCTCCTGAGACATCAGGCTGGGCTACAGGACCATGCTACCTGGCACAACAACCCTTGCCCGCCCAGAAGCCAGCCACCCTTCTCTGTCCTCTGGCCAGAGGACASTGGTGAACATCTGGCTTGGCACAGGATTCACATGACTCCATTAACCTCAACCTTGGCCATGCCCCCTTTCTGCTCCTCCACCTGCCTTCATCTTAATTTCTTCCTGGACCTTGGTGATGTGACCTATGAGAGTTGGAGAGGGGGTTCTCCCCCCTCCTAATCCAAACTGTAACTGGCTCAAGAAACAAGCAGGGCCAAGATTCAGAACATGAACACACACACGCACACCCATTCACACTCACATAAAGAAATGCATCAGCTCCTTCTATCTTGCAGCCACCAGCCTCCCCTTCCATACTTGACCTCAGACATGACCTCCATGGGTCCTGTCTGTGGACTCAACAGAGCTGGTCCAGCACAGGCTCCACTCTCCTCAGCCCACTCTCAAGCAGCCACTGCTCCTCCTCCATGGGCCTGGCCCCTGAGACGCAGGAGCTGGGAGGGGAAGGGAGGAAGGATGATKGAGTATAGGGAGCACCATCCTCAAGTCCCTTAAAGTGATGACAGGGTAGCTCCCCTTGGGGCTGGAAGGCTGGCAGGGAAAATCAAGCAAGAGCAGAGGGCAAGCAAGACCCCCACTGAGCACTGGGGTTGTGGCTCAGTGGTAGAGCGCTTGCCTAGCACGTGTGAGGCACTGGGTTCGATCCTCAGCCCCACAAAAAAAAATAAATAAATACCATAATTAGTCGTAGTTGTGTCCATCTACAACTAAAAAAAAACTTTTTTAATACTTAAAAAAAAAATCCCCACCCAGCAGCCACCAGGATGCTCTGAGCTTAGAAGGATCACTGGCCCACTCCCCTRGAGATAGCTTGTAAACACCTTGATCAACAGCAGCCCAGGCTCTCCAGGAACACAAACCCTAGACAAGGGCAATGCTGGCAGGTTGTTAACATCACTGGCCAAGGGTTCTATGTCCACATCCATAGATCCAGAACCRATATGATTATTGTCCAGAGTCTCTGAGTCCCAAGCAAACGGCCCCCAACACCAACCCTCCCTGGACTGAGCCCTCTCCCCTGAATCAGCCTGTTTCCCCTGAATGTTGGAAAAACTCCTGGAAGCAGTGAGTGGTAAAGACCATCAAGTGGGAACATAGGGCAGTTTCTGCCAGAAGGGTTTTCCAAGTGACACCTGGGAGCAGGAATGAACACTTGTGGCTAACAACTTCCTGCCAGCTCCAGGGCTGTGTCCAAGTCCCCAGAAAGGAGACCAGGGTGGGCAGAAGACATGGCTGCTGCCTTCAGAAAGATCAGAACTCAGAGTATGCACAGGTTTTTGGCTACAAATTAAAGTCCACCTTGCCTTGGTATCTGAATGGCTTTGAGGGGCACCTGTGGGCTAGTGTGGGCCACACTGCACCATTCCCACTCTTGGCTGCAGCCCTCCCCACTACTTTAGAGTTAACTGCCTGTTAAGGGTTGAAATTGTTCCCCAAAAAGATATGGTGACATCCTCATCCGCAGTACCCATGACGAGGGCCTTATTTGGAAATAAGATCTTTGCATATATAATCAAGATGAGTTCACAGGGGAAGCCTTCAATATGACCAATGTCCCTATAAGAAGGGAAGGCAACCAGTAAAGGCAAGGACATGTGGAGTGGAGGCAGAAACTGGAGTGAAGCAGCCGCAAGCTGGGAATGCCAAGGATTGGCAGTCACCACCAGAAGCTACAAGAAGCAGCGGGAAGCCAGGCACAATGGCATCCCATTGTAATCCCAGTGTCGCAGGAGGATCGTGAGTTCAAAGATAGCCTCAGCAATTTAGCAAGGCCCTACGCAACTTAGTAAGACCCTTTCTCTAAATAAAATGTTTCAAAAGGGCTGGAGATGTGGCTCAATGGCTAAGTGCCCCTGGGTTCAATCCCCAGTACCATTAAAAAAAAAAAAAAAAAAAGAGGAAGAAGCAGCAAGGGAGGACACTGCCCTAGAGTTGTCAGAGGGAGCACAGCAGTGCATGGTAATGACAGCCTTAACAGGAACAATACACAGCCCATGTCCCCAGTTAGTTCTAGCCTTGGTCTCGTGACTGGTACAAAAACAAGAAGGTGAAATCCATTGCTATGGTTTAGATATGAGGTGCCTCCCAAAAGCTCCTGCATAAGACAGTGTCWGAACAYTCAGAGGTGAAACAATTGGGTCATGATAACTTTAATCCAATCAGTGAATTAATCCCTGACTGGATTAACTGACTGGCAACTGAAGGTGGGCAGGGTGTGGCTGGAGGAGGTGGGCACTGGGGGTGCACCTTTGGGGTATATATTTTGTATCTCTCTGCTTCCTGACCGTCAGGTGAGCTGCTTCCCTCCGCCACACTCTTCAGCCCCAATGTCCTGCCTCAACTCGAGCCCCGAGGAATGGAACCATCTATGGACTAAGACCTCTGAAACCGTGAGCCCTGAAATAAACTTTTCCTCCCCTAAAATTGTTCTTGTCAGGTCTTCCTGTCACAGAGGCAAAAAAAAGCTGACTAAAACAACCATGCTTCTGCCCCACCTCTCTGCTCTGATCTGCTGTGCTCGACCTTGTCCTGCCCCAGTCCTCATGACAATGACATTTGCATGTGAGCCACCCTGCTCCCAGGACAGCCAGGCCAGACCTGGCCACCAGCTGGTACAAAGATAAGATAGAGTAAGAGCTGCATGCTCAGKGAAGGGGCAGCCCTTTCTCTCCCACTCAGGCAAACATATCACACACAAGAAAGGGAAATGGTGTGATTATATCAAGGTATAACCTTGAATCTGCTCTCCTTGATGATGAGCAAAAGGTAAATGATTAGCAGAGGGGACAACTTTCGTGTAAGCCACAGTGATCCTGCCATGTGTCATGACCCCGAGACTGAAAACCGCCSGTGACCAACCCAGACAGAACTCACACGGGCTCTAAGGACATAGGGTCCCAGATCCAACTAAGGACCCAGAGGGACCCAAAGAGGAGAGGAAGCCAGAGGAAGAGGAAATTTGTACACTCAGCTGAAAGAGAGGGCTATGCAGGTGGCTGAATGGGCAGATCAGGGGTCCTGGAGACCCTGAGCTCCTCACTCAGCATCTCTGCCACCCCAGGGCCAGGTGGCGCTGATGCATCCCACTCTGGGATTCTTTCCCTAAAGTATGAAAGATCCTGAGCCCATGGGAGGGCTCAGAGAGGTCAGCAGCGGCCCTGGCCTTTAGCCAAAGGCACTCACGAGAAAAGAACCAAAGGGACCTGGAGAAGAAGCTGTGAGAGTCCCTGTGACTACACCTAGGCTTCCAGGGTCCTCACCTCACCCTAGGTGGCTCTGCCCCAGACGCCTGAGGTCATTACAACAGTTCACCATCTTGTACAAGATGCTACACTAGGAATCAAGAGACTCCTAGCATTCAAGTCTGGCTTTCCCTGAGAGTCTACTGTGTGACCTTGGTTAAGTTACCTCATCTCTCTTTGTCTAAGTCCCTTCGCCTGCAAAGATGCAGGTAATAACGTTCTGAGGAATTAAAAGTAATGGCTATAAAATAAAACACAAAGTCCTACATACAAATATAGGCGATGATGATGATGATGATGATGATGATGATTCATAAAATGTATTTCATAAAATGGCGATCTGGTCTCCAAGTGAAAACAAAGAACCAAGGGTTCAGGGCTGTTTAAATGTCTCACAAAAACATTCCTGGCATCTCAATAAGCTCCAGTTCTAGCCCTAGGGATCTACTCCCAGGATTACAATTATTGGTTAATAATCAACAGCAGGAAAAATCCCCACCTAACAGCTCTGGGTCCAGGTGTGAGGCCTCCCTGCAGCAGGGGGTTCCTACAAA